CAAACTGGATCCTAGTATATAGTCGCTTGTGCACTGTCCAACTAAACGGCACAGTAAAAATTCAGAAAGATAGGGAAACTTGTCGTTTCGTCTTCTCTACCTACGTTCGCACTGACTGCTGCTCGGACAAGCTAAAAGATGAATTTCACAGAAAGCTTCCAGACCTTCAAGAATTTAGGCGCTCTGATATAGTATTAATGGCTGGTGACTGTAATGCTCAAGTAGGTAGACTAAGCGAAAAGTAAAGACACCTGGGTGGGTCTTATGGTGTCACAGCTCGAAGAACAGATAATGATGTCTGCTAGTATGGTAAACGAATGTGGTAGAGTTTCGTTCTTCGAGCTGGATGTTTTGGTTTTGAAGCTTTCATTGTTTTTCTGAACCACATCATCAGCACAAACTTCAAATAGATGTGAAGTATTCACATTTGACCCACAACCTGTTCTGTTAATCCAAAAGTTAGGGAGAAACGTTGGGTCTCAGTAGCATCGACCGAAATGATAGATACTAGGAAACTCATCCCATCTGGTTCTGAGCGTGATAAGGAGTGGAGTCAGTTTAAGCGCAGGCTGATAAAAAGCCTATACAATAATCGCGGATAGTGGTCATTAGTAAAAGCAACAGAGATGGAAAAGGCAGCAGCGATAGGTAACAATAGACAACCGTTCAAGGAAACTGGTATTAGAAATCCGACTACTAGCAAGACTATCTCAGGAAAGGATGCGCACAATCCAGGAGATTGAATCGATGGGCAGAACACGGGTTCAGTTCAACTGGCCTTCAGCCACACTTCGGTTACCAACCATCTCCAGTCAACCTGAATGGCAAGTTCATGTAAGTCCGAGTCTTTATGAAATTGAAAAAGCTATAAGAAATCTAAAGCGAGGGAGAGCAGTGGATCCTAATAGGTTAACTATTGGGATTTTTAGGGATGGTGGTCCAGTTTTAGCAGTGGGACTGACTGAGATCTTAGGTAAAATACGGGAACTGGCCGTAATCCAATCAGTGATTACTGATTATCCCAGTTTATAAGGAAGGACAAGAGTACAATTGTGATAATAACAGAGTAATTAGATTAATTCATATGGTGTCCAAACGACGGTTGGAGCCCCTCTGCGGCTACTATCGGTCCCAAGCCCGGATAAAGGAAAGTCGGGAGTGGGATTGGCGACCAACTAACTAGCTAAAAAAAATGCTAACTAGTGAATATAATTCAATCCATTTTAACTCTACCTTGTGAATAAGGTCTTCATTCAGAAGAGTTATGACGCCTCACGATGAAAGCCGAGTTCCTTCAGAAGTTACGAGGCAACCAGAGAAACCATTAATTTAGCTACATGAAATGTTCGTACAATGTGGAAGACCCGGAAGAGTAATCGAAGTTGCTGCAGAAATGAAAAGATACAACCTGGAGGTGCATGGAATCAGTGAAACATATAATGGACGCAGGTCAGACAACAAAGACTAGAGCCTCAGGAGAGCTGCTGTTATACTTCGGCCATGAAGAAGAAAATGCTACACATACACAGGGAGTTGAACTAATGCTGTCCAAACAAGCACAAAAAGCAATGGTAGCATAGGAATATCATGGACCTAAGGTCATCAAAACAAAGAAAGAGGGCATTACAATGAACGTCATCTAATTCTATGTACCTGCCAACGATTACAATGAAGACGTTAAAAGTCTATTCTACAAGAGACTGCAGTCAGTCGTTGAGAAATGTCTAACAGAGCGTTTGATCATTCTGATGGGTGACCTGAACGCCACGGTCGGAATGAACAACAGTGGATATGAAGACATTATGGGACGACACGGGCTGGGAGAAAGGAATGAAAACGTTCAGAGATTCAAAAACTGTGCGCCACCAACAAGCTTGTCATATGCGAGACTATATTCCCACATAAAAATAAACACAAAGTAACATGCGTTTTACCGGATCACAATGCTAAACAATACCAGATCGACTATATCTGCATCAATAAAAAGTTCAGATGTACGGTGGAGGACGTAAGAACCAAGAGAGAAGCTGAAACAGCGTCAGATTACTACATGCTGGTCGTTAAGAGGAAATTGAAACTCAAGAAGCACTAGACAACGGAGCGGACAACATCACAAAAGTTTAGTACGGCCTTTCTTCGGGATACTGGAAATCTCAACGAATGAAAGATAGCTCTCAACAATAGGTTCCGGGCTTTTCACGATCTACCCAATGGAAAGGAAACTACCATTGAGAAACTGGAAAGGGATTGAGGAAGCAGTCACTTCAACATTTCATGAGGTTCTGGGCCACAAGAAGCACTATTACAAGGAATGTTTTTCCGTGGATACTCTGGATAAGATTCAAGAAAGGAGAAACATGAAGGCAGAAAACAACATCAGCCAAACAAAAGCAGAATAAACCAAGGCACATGCTGAATACACAGAAGCAAATGAAGAAGAGCATGAGAGCCGACAAACGTAAATATGCTGAAGATCTAGCAATGACGGCGAAAAAGGCTGCAAGAGTAGGAAACTTGAGACAATTGTACGATACAACTAAGAAGCTCTCTGGAAACTATCATAAACGAGAACGATCAGTGAAAAGCAAGGAAGGCAAAGCATAACAAACATTTAGGAACAGCGAAAAAGATGGGTAGAACACTTTGAAGAACTCTTAAATCGACCAGCCCCACTAAACCTACCCAACATCGGACCAGCATCCACGGACCTCCCAATCAATGTTGGCGCACTACTAATTGAACAGACCTATATAGCGACCCGACAAATCAGGAGCGGCAAAGTAGCAGGACCAGACAACATTCCAACTGAGGCACTGAAAGCAAACGTAACAGTAAGTACAAAACTACTCCACATTCTCTGTAGTAAGATTTGGAAGGGATAACAAGTAGCAACAGATTGGAAGGAAGAACAACTGATCAAGATACGAAAGAAAGATCTCTAAAGGTGTGGCAACCAGATAGGCATTACTTTACTCTCAATAACAGGAAAAGTCTTCGATAGTGTTTTTAAACTGAATGAGAGATTCATTAGACACCCAACTTCGAGATCAGCATGCTGCATTCCATAAAGATCGATCGTGTACCGACCAAATTTCAACATTCTAGAAAAATTAGTTGAGTAGGATTCACGACTCTACATCAGCTTCATTGACTACGAGCAAGCATTTGATGGTGTGAATAGGACAACACTATGGAGGGCGTACCTGAGAAGATAGTCAACACCAAACGGAATTCTTATGATGGATTAAACTGCAAAATCGTTCATTGGAGGTCAGCTCACAGACTCGTTCGATGTGAGAACCGGTGTCAGGCAAGATTGCTTACTCTCATCCGTTTTCTCCTGGTGAATGACTGGTTTATGAAGATAGGCTTTTCCGCAATCGTAGGATGAATTAAATTCCTTCTTTATCTGAGTTATGATTAATACCAAGATATACGTTACAAGACAGAGCACATTCAAACTACATTGTCAATCTTATGTTAAGATGTGCTCTATCGAGAACTTCCAATTTACGAGAAGCATGCTGAGAGATGTATCACCCACATACTTGATATACAAAGTTATGTTATTCATCGTAAGTCTTATAAATAACTGTTTATTCGCAGCGAAGTTATCTTCCTAAACTGAGCCCAGTGGATTGTCTAGAGTCACTTCATCAATTTGACAGTAAAGAATATTATTGTTCCATCGAAAGTAAACATCTCTATCGCTCATGACTAGAAGTTGCTTGAATTTGTGGGTTGATGACGGAAGTGGTTTAGGATGTTGACACAATTTATATGGTTACTTTCATTCTAATTGAGGTAAATACTAATGATTGTGATCAAATGGAACCATGAATTTATCAAAGACGTTGATGTTTCCTAATCATCTAAAGTAAATTAAAAGGTGTTTATCAAACTATAGACAGAGCTTCGAGTGAAAAGTCAGTCAGTCAGTCAGTTGCAACGTGGAGATAAGAGAGACATTAGGGGGTGTAAGAAGGATTTGATTTTGACCAATTTGGTCCCGCGTGCTGTTATGGGTATGAGGGCGGTTGTCACTTCCCGGCTGCCCACACCGTGGAAGGTTGTTTCTTGAGGAACCTGAAAAGGAAGACAGATTAGTGTTGGTGCGTGACCGCAGAGCCCAAGGGACAACTGCTTGAGGCCGGTCACGCACGGCCTTTTTATGAAATGTTTTTTGAGGATTAGCTCCGTTCTTAAGGCCCTTAGTGGGCACCCTTACCCAAGGAGACGGAAATCTGTGAGGTGTGACATTTTTAGGGCCGACCTTTTCTAACCCTTCCTTCCTTGTGAGAAGGTAGCATCGCTGCAGATGCTGGTTGTCTGAGGGAAACACCTTACTGCTGTCACACCCCTCTGCAGTGAGCAGTACGACTTCGCCCTCAGACCTTGGGTAGCTGCTTTTAGTCTCATCGTTCTCCAATCGACCTGTCTGGCATGGTAGAACCTTCAGGAACATATATTCCAGCCAATATAACTCGGTTGGGTCATCACGATAGTCAAGCCCGACCACCACGTCAAGGTAGCAGCTACGGTCGAGTGAAAAGCCTATAATTGATTCGGTAAACACCACTTAGCAAGTTCGTCAGATGGAGAATTGATCATCACAATAGAATAAATCTAACGAGAATATCTGGTTTGTGTATTTATTCTAGGTAGTTCATATAAGAATGAAGTTGTCTGTGTCCCCGAGGTTTCAGTCTACTATATGATCGATTATTAATTAACTTTCAAAAGATCTCGTAACTTTTGTATGATACACCGTTCTGGTGATTTAATCATATGCGTTTTTTTTTGAGCAGACAAATAGAAATCTAACAAATCCACACCTAGCAATCTAGTTACATCAGCTGTATTTATTCTACAAAGTTCAAAGTAACACTCCATTAACAAAATACACATTGATTGTAAGTAATCTGACCGACAGACTAGTATTTATGGGTATGCAAGTGAGTGGTGTAGTGCAGCAATTAACACATTCACAGGAAACATAATGCAGACAAAAGTGTATATTAACAAGAAAAATAAAACTCAGATATTTTTTTTTTATCAACAGAATAATTATCTTACAATAAGAATAAGGTTTTACAAACTTAAAGTTGCATAAGCCACTTATGAATCGCAGACGAATCGTTTATAGCAGAAATCTCGACGAAATCTACCGGTAGACGACTTTTTGCAAAAGTAAAAGTTACTCCCGGCTTTGTCAGTGTTGATATGGTAGATTGATCAAGGCCAGCAAGTGCACCAGTACGTGTAAATGTAAGAGTATTCCTAAATTTAAAATGTCACAAAAGTGTTTGCTTTATGAGAAGTAAATAATGATGAACAGTGTAGATTATCAGTAGGATCATAGAAAAAAGACAGCGTATATTTTGATGTGGTATAATTTTATAATTTACGATGAAAATAACTCGAAAGGGAGTATGTTGTTTAAAATATATTACTTCAGTCAGTCAGTTACAACGTAGGATTTCGCTCGTAAGTACATCAGTTCAAGTTGCCATGCCACATTGCCATACAGAGACGCAATTGTCAGTTCAAATCCCATAGTGGTAGAGATAGTAGAAGTATTAACGGTAATGGCAAAGACTAGGGTTCGAAGATATTGTTCGAGAACTACAATTCAGGAAGATAACGTGAGAAAGATAAAAATAGAGGAAGTGTTAAGGAATTCAGAAGATTAGAATTTCATAGAACAATAAGGGTGGATGCATCTGCGCCATTGCAAACGATTTTTAGCCATGTTATTCAGAGTCTCTAGTATCGTCTTACGGACTCCAACCACGTAGTCTACATCTACCAATATGACTCAATCCACTTTTCAGTGACTCCTAATATATTACTTAATTCAAAGAATCGGCAACCTGGTGCAAGTGGGTGATATCTCTTACAACACAATGATAAATAGGCTATGCGAACATTCAATCAGTTTATAATCAACATTCACAAAGTACGATATGCGATTGGGAATAGCAAAATATAAAGTAATTCAACAGGGTTGTTAGGAGCATTTTTGTGAAAAAGGCCAAAAGGTAGTGTAGGATTCACTGATACATGCAATGCGTATAGCGCTATATATTTCACGTCAAAAAGCAAGTAGAAAGAACTAAATGAGAGGAAATAATAATACTAACATTAGTAAGGAGCTAGTAGATGCTTTTATCGACGATAAGCTCAAACCGCATTACTATGTTGGGGATTTTTTCTCCTCACACAAATGAGCAAGAAAGTTTTGGAACAGTCTAACATGAATAATACTAAATGGAGTTTCATCAGAAAAGACTGTTCCACCTGAACTACCTTTATTACAGACATGTGACATCACATCATCATTTTTACCACAACGTTTTAGAAACATTTGTAATGTCATCATGTAAGTAGCGGACAAACAATATATCACCAAATATTATTAGATAATAAGTCTTTGAAAGTATAATGAACAATTTTAAGATTGCGCACTTTGAAAGCAACTAATGAAGAGCCTAGAGACTTGGTGTTAGATTTTTACTTTTCTTAAGGTGAGAGGGGTATTGTTATTAAGCTACGAGAAATATTCTGCTTAAACATATTCTATCAGTTATAAGTAGATCGGTCTGTAAAATTTTCATAGTCATACATCCCGAAATACATAAGCTACCTTTTTATTTGAGTGTTTGAGTTATAACCATAAGAGAGTGAGTGGTTTGGTTAGCATAGAGTATAGGCCGACAAGATGATAATTATCAACCTGTCAAAGTTTGACCGGAATAGAAAATACTTTGATAGTTCAGCACTGAATCACACCAGTCGTCTGCATCAAAAAACACTACAAAACTGATTAGATCACATATGACAATTTTATACTGGAGTAAATCTAAATCCCTGTTGACCAACTGTAATCTGGAGACAGTTGTGGTATTGTGGTGCAAGCTACTTATAAGTAGTATATGACGTGGGCGTCAACGTAATGTCTGGCAGCAGAAGATGGGGCAAGATCAAGAAAGGAAGAGTGGGAACACAATGGAATTTGTATGAAACACATGAATAGTGGCAATGGATTGATGTTTTGCAACATAAACAGTCCACTTCGATATGATGGACTGATATTTTGCAAATTAACGATTTACAATATGGTTTTCCAATTTTACTGAGTAACTCTGTAATTTTCGTTAAATAAAATTCGGTTGCTCCACCTGTGTTCTCCTTCACCACAGTATTATTACTACAAGAAACTTGAGATATGTTAATCATTACTTGAAACAGATAATTGGGATAGAAATGACAAGAACCTAAATCCATCTTTTACACTGAAAACTACAGTTTTGAGATATGGCATTATGCCACAATCACAATGGAAGTGGATACCTGGGAGGAGAGGCAGGAATTGATACATAGTTTGGAACTAATATTGTTCACCGTGATATTGAAAATAGCATAAAACCTACTGCGTTCCAAAAAAATTTAAAGTTTTAGCAATTTGAAAAGATCTAATCAACTGATTTAGCAATCTGCTCCAGAACCAATGTCAATCAAAGAAAACAAACACTGGGAATAATCAATAGGCAATGATGATGATAATAATAATAATAATAGCGGTGATTATTCACAAAGTATAAATTATGCTAAGACTCAATGACTTACAGTTCTTTTTCAAGTAGGTGAGTTACTACACTAACACCTTTTGCTGTAGTAGCGTCTTGTTTATTGCAGGCTACTAGCAATTTGACACGATTTTTTATAAAAACTTTATCCACTAGTATATTGTACAAAAATCTACAAAATGATATGCACCATTGTCATAAACAATGAGAGAACTTGCTCAGCAATATCTTTTATATCACTTTGAATAGATTTTGAATCTATAACAAAAACCAATGCTCTAGAAATTATAAGTGACAGTCATAACATACAAAGTGTCCAATTTATATTTGCGAATTATTTCGTTTCTAACTTTTTCATGACCAGGAACATCGATAAGAACAAGAGCCTTTAAATATGAAGCAGAAATTTTTCAGTACTTTTTTATCTGTTTGTAAGCTTTTAACATTCTCACTCAGAGATGTAAACGTGGAAGATGGATTTCCATATACAATCGAAGAGAAAAGAGTTGTTTTCCCTGCATCGCATGCACCAACAAACAAAACATTCTTAAGTTTCCTTTTAACTGAAAACCAATACAGTACAACAGTTACAACACATACAACGACAGCGATGACTATAGGATACAACGAAATGTCCATAACGCAAGTAGTTGAATTTGCGGCTGTTTTGTCAGCACTTTATAACAAACCGTACTGTGCCTGTTAATGAGATAGAAGATGTTTTCGTCGAATGGACTTCATGTTCAGTGCTAAATGCTTAAATCTCGTAAGTTGCGGATGCGTAATCAGGCGCTTTTACTAGGTGTGTGTTCAGTTAAAATTACAGGGTGGATACTGACGTCGAGTATTTGCAAGATTATTTGCTCTGAATGCTTTTTCTTTCTCACCAGAACCGTTATTAGAACTAGCTTCGTTTGTAGACTGGATCATTAATAGGCTGATGGGTCCATCTATTAGTTTTAACGAAGTTTAACGGATTGTTTAGTCTGTATAAACTGAGTCAGTACCGATCCTAGTTGGTACAAGGCTAAGTACGAGCTTTTGCTAATGAATAGAGGTGGGGTTGTTTAATTGTATGTAGAACGATCCTTTATGATGTAACTGAAGATGTGACGTAGTCAGCTAAGATGTATTAGATTTAACATGACCTGATGTGTGAAATTGTGTGATAGGATCACAACGAGCTTGTAGTTCATAATGGACCGATCAGTGTTAGACTACCTTCAAAAGCCTGGAAGTTCTGGACGGCCATTTCCTTATAGTGCGTGACCACTCAGTTGCTACCAGCCGCAGCCCGGAAGCGAGAACCGAACATAATACATTCAGCCGTGTATGTGATTGCCAGATTTCTAGGCCAATGAGCTGTTATGCGATTGTACCTACTTAATAACTTTCACCTGTCATCCCCAATGGAGCATAGGTCGTCAATCAGTATCCTTCAACCTATTGGCTGTCTCTATTATTAGGCGTACAGTGTTTCTTGGGCTTCCTTTTTTCCTTTGTCCTTGAGAATTCAGAGTGAGGACTTGTCTTGTGACGCATTTGGGTGCTTTCCACAATGTGTAACCTATCCACTTGCAGCACCTCTTCCTAATTCCCTCCCCTTCTGGGATCTGGTTTGTTCTTTCCCACAGAAGGTTGTTGCTGATGATGTCTGGCCCACAGATGCGAAGCATTTTGCGTAGAAAACTGTTGATGAACACTTGCATCTCCTGGGTGATGGCTTTGAAATTTTTCCAAGTTTCCGCCCCATACAGTAGAAGTGTTTCAACGTTTCTATTGAAAATTCCAATATTGGGATTGGTCGATAGTTGTTTGGATTTTCAGATGTTGTTCAATTGTAGACAAGCAGCCCTAGCTTCCTCGATCCACGCCTTCACATCTGCATCCCATCCACCGTGCTCGTCAGTGATGCTGCCCAGGTATGTAAGGGTTTTCACATCTCCCTAGGCATCTCCATCAAGAGTTATTTGGTTGACTCATGTTGTATTGTGTCGAAGAATCTTGCTTTACCATTAATGGATATCTAGTTGAATATAAATCTCTTTAGTTTTTATTTGAAATAGACAGGTTACTCTACTAACTGGGTCGTTCGACAGTGTTCAACTGTAAACTGGTTGACTAGAATGCACTCTACTCTCCTGGGCGCAACCTTATCAACACTTACAACTGTGTGAGTTTCACATTGCCTATTATCAATTATACTGTTCTCACTTACACGCTATTGACTTACCTTGGCCCCTTAGTGTTATCTATTGCTCCGCTTTTAACCGCGATACTCTTTATATCTCCTGCTTAGCTAGTTAAGTACATCTTCCCCACTACATTCAAAATGCTTATATCTTGTTTGAAAATTCTTACTATTTCTCCATAACTGTTAACTGTATAGCATTGATGCCTAACCAATAGTTCATAAGTTGTAATAGCCAGACGAGTTTGTGAAAGGAACTTGCAGAAATAGTGTTTCTCAACAGGATGCGAGACATAGAACACCAAGTAGAACTCAATAGCTTCTTTTAAACATTTAACATGAGCCTAACAACACAAAAGGAGGGAGGGTGGAGTTACTGACCAGCAAACATTGATGGTATGGGCGATAACTTCAAACAACCCATGTTTGTGGGGCAGAACATTTTGTTTGCTTTCGGCTCTTTAGATTGATGAGACGACTAATCAGTAACACTGAGGTTGCTCTTATACGCTTGCTACTTCTGTGGTTCATGTTTCCAAAACTATGCTGAGGTCGCTATTCTGTCGAGACACCTGCAACATTCTTACTCAGGCGCTTACAGTATGACTTAGAGGTTGGCATTCAATAATAAAGAAAAAAAAACAGTTAGACAGTGCGAGATTTAATTCGTCAAATATTTATTTTTACAAACTCTACTCTTTTAACTAGAATTTCGATTTCAACGTACATAAATCCAGCTTTTTACTTCGACTTCTCTTCTATCCACCTGACACTGCACAACTCTCCCTTCTTTTTGCTGTACTCCTTTATCTGTGCGTTATATTCTTATATTCCCATAATTTACTTTAATTTAAGTGGTCAGTATGAATGTTATCTTGACTTACTACTGTATTGACTACTTTAACATGACAGGTTAAGTAGTGCTTTGGTTATATATATACACCTGCCACACTGCTGCCTTTTCCTCTCTCTCTTCTCCTTTTCAGAACCCCATTCACGGTGGGAAATCCTTGGCAACTCTAGGGAACATGCACCCTATGTACATGACTGTCTGGATCACAGCTCGTATCAAGCGCGTTCCATATGACCTTTCCCAACAAATTCACTATTGATCTCGGCCAATCGCCAATAGAACCTATTGTGCACCTTCCTCATTTGTACTCTAATATTGAAAATGTGGCTGTATAATACTGTTTCTGTCAGTGATATGGTGTAAATATGCAATCAGAAACTGTCTCTTATACTTAATTTAACTGCTATAACTTTTACAGTAATTGTAAAAGCATTTGTGACAATTTGATCTAGCCTGTAAACTGGCGTGACTCTTGTAACTTAGTTATTTGAGAATAAATTATTATTATTATTATTATTATTATTATAAGACCTACTGCTGCAGACACTGCTGCTACACTGGTCGTCTTCTCTTACATTAGTCGTTGCGTATGGAATACAAGAGACAGATCATCTGCGAAGTCTAAATCGTCTAGCTGCATCATAGCTATCCTATGTATGCCGTGCTTCCCTTCATATGTTGACGCCCTCATGATCCAGTCGATCGCCAGGAGAAAGAGAAAGGGACGAACAATGACTAAGTATATACATTTCTGGATAAAACAAAGGTATGTTCGCTCAGGCGTTTTTTCATTAGAACACTAACTGTATACCTGCATTTATGTAGGCTAACGAGGACAATTCAGTAGTAAGATAACGAATGGACATCTAATCGTATGAATAAAGGAAATTCAGTATAACCAAAAGGTTAGCAACAATGGTGATTTACAGAATATAATAATGAAGCTCAATGATCTTATGCTTTTGCTTTTTTTAAACTCTGGCTCAGGAAGTTATGAATGAGCTCTTTTTGTGTATAACTGTCCAGATCTGCTTTTAATAGGATTTCTTGGTAGGAAGTTAAAACCACTGTAAGGTTACAAACATGAGTCGTAGACGAGGTAGTTAGTACTAGGCTTGAGCTCTCATGTGTAAGTGACTGGTAATGGAATGTACTCACAATAATGATATTTATAATGATAATAATAATTTATTCTCAAATGACAACATGTTACAAGAGGCATGGCACTTTACAGGCAAGATGAAAATGTTAAAATTGCTAAATTATTTTCTGTGAAATGTTTTTCAGCCACTTAAATGTTTCATAAAACACAATGGTTTCATTTAGATGACTAAAAGTTTCCACATAAAATTATAGATAATGTTTCACACTGCGAGATGTACATTATGCGAGTTGACGCGAGTTACAAAGGTTACGTTCCAAAGAACCACTAATGGATGAGAACCAATCCGAAGTAAATCCAGGTCTGCATATCACAAGAACTGATGAGGTAAACGTGCAAAGATCATGTTGATATTCGTCAGATAATACATTTACAGGCTTCTAGGCAAATTAACCAATTCTTCAGCAATTATTCAAACTAATATTTAGCTGCTAGAATGAGGTGCTGAAAAAGAGTACTAAAGAGATTGGGGTGAGGAGCAGGACAGAAACATTTCTTGTTTGAAGCTGAATCATGACTCCGCAGATATTTCTGGAAGAAGAAAGGTATGATTACTCAGACCTTTTTTCCTAACTTGAAGCACTAACTGTATACCTGCACTTATGTAGGTTAATTAAGACTAGTCACTAGTAAGATAACGAATGAGCGAATAATCTTATGAATATAGGAGAAATAAGCTGTTAGAAATAATACTGGCTTACAGAATATAATGATGAAGGTATAGTGATCTGATGCTTTAGTGATATTCGATTTAGCCTTTTTCTTCTCAACGGTGCAGCTCAAGAATGTAATAATTTATTTTTATTATTATCATTTCTCTACGCAAAATATTTCGGAGCTGTTGGCCAGACACCATCGGCAACTGTAGCGATCTCACATATATTTGAATTCGCTTACATTTTATTAGGTGAAGCCTTTCGGTCAATTTATTTATTTTTTTGATCTTCTCTTAATGTGGGTCCTTACGAACGTACTCGGACAAGGTAACTTTGATTTTCGTAACTTGTGATGTTTTCCGACAATTTTGATCTTTTTCTCAAACAGACACTTTCGTATCCTTGTTTGCTGGAAGCGGGCTATTGTATTGACCTCACATATATTTGAATTCGCTTACATTTTATTAAGTGAAGCCTTTAGGTTAATTTATTTAACCAGGCCATTTGTATAACAATAACTCATATGTACTATTGGCTTTTATTATTTTGTGATTTGTATGAATTGGTATGACTGAACATTGTCTACACCTACGCACATATTCATCCTATTCGCTTTAATATTAATCTCTTAAATATCACGATGACTCAGGCATTTTTCTTTGTTTATATACGAACATTTTTATCTCATTCATTCATTCGCCCATTCGCATATACGCTCGCTAGTGTGCCAGCCCGGTCTGCTTGTGTGTGCATGCCTATCTCGCTGGTCACATGTCTGTCTTATTTCTGTATGGCTATAAATTCTTAGTCATGCTTCGTCTCAGCGAGCTGGCTCGTTAGCCATTCTCCACATTGCTTCCTTCGCCCATTCTTTCTCATTATAATCCAAGGGG